ATTTCCTGTGTTAGTGATGAGGAAACTGAAGTGCCAAGGGAGAAAGTGCCGGTGGGACCAGGCAGGGAGGTGCGTCCCCGCCCCTGCTGCAGTCTAGGGTCTCTCACTTTGGTCAGTGTCCCAGGAGCTGAGGACAGAGACTGACATCCCAGCTGAGCAGTGCCATTCTGGTCTCTTGTCCCTATCTGCTTCAGGTCCAGGATATGTAGGTTCATGAGCTCTGGGGGAGGGTGGGGGAGGGAACCAATAAAAGTTCAACTGTTTGCAAAGAAAAGTGCATTTTATTTCCTGAGGACCTCTCCTCTCCCTCCTCAGTTGCTCCAGAAACTGATTTGGCCTTTCTAGGAAGGAAGATGACTCCCCCATTTTTTTATACCTCTCACCCACTTTGCCTTGCCCTTGACAGTCTCCTCCAGACTCCAACACCCTCACCTGTCTCTACTTCCCAATGTAGGAGGAGTGAAAGGGTCTCAGGATTGACAGACAAGATCTGGGAGTGGATATCCAGTGTCCTTTCCTGCTCTTACACCGCCCCCCTCATCCCCAACACAGTGGGAGGCCTCTGCAAATAAAGGTACCTGCTCCTTGCCCTTCCAGCACTGGGTGGGCCACACATAGTCTTTCCCTCCCTCAGTTCCCAGGGCTCTCCCCTGGTAGAGGCAAAACCCCTAAAACAAACAAACAAACAAAAACTAAAACTCTCCTTCAACTGAGGGTTTCCAGGATACATCAGCAAAATAGTCTTACTCATTCTGATAAAAGTTTAAATTGGTTCCATGTCTTAGCAATTGTGAATAATACTACAATAAATATGAATGTGCAAACGTCTTTCCGACTGAGTGTTTTCCTGTCCTTTGGGCAAGCACCCAGGGGTGCTATTACTGGGTCATGTGGTAGTTCTATTTGCAGGCTTTTGTGGGACCTCCATACTGTTTTCCACAGTGACTATGCTAATTTATATTCCCACCAACAGTATGGGAAGGTTCCCTTTTCACACAGCCTTGTCAGCACTTATCATTCTTTTTTTCATTCTATCCATTCTGACTGGTGCTAAGTGGCATCTCATTGTGGTTTCGACTTGCATTTCCCTTATGGTAAGGGATGAGCAACCCAAATGCCTAAGAATGGGTTGACTGGTGCTAAGTGGCATCTCATTGTGGTTTCGACTTGTATTTCCCTTATGATAAGGGATGAGCAACCCAAATGCCTAAGAAGGGGTTACTAGATTGAAAAAATGTGGCACATATACATTCTAGAATACTACTCAGTCATTTAAAAAAAAAGAGGCTCTGTCATTTGATACAAAGTGGATGAATATGGAAGATTTAATGCTTTGAGATTCAAGCCCGACTATGAAAGTAAGACGAGGTATCTACCCACTCAATATATACTGAATGTCAGCAGTTTATGACAGATACTGAAAGACTGAAAGACATAATAGCAGAGTTGGCAAGTGCATATACCAGAGCCTATACAGGAGGGAGAGGGTAGTGAGGAATCAGACAGAGGAACTCAGGGGAAAAATTAATAGACAAGAATAGATGATGTGTATAATGAAAATGAAAATGAAATAAGTGTAATAAAAATATTAACAAAATACTTGGAGGTAAGCAGACTTTAAAAAGGAGTTTAAATTGATACAAGTACTTTGGAAATCAAATTAGCCTTATCCAGCATGGTTAAAAACATAGTATATGTGGGGCCAGCAGATGGCATAGAGGTTACGTTGCTGGACTCCCACATGGCCAACCCCAGGTTTGAGTCCTGAAACTGGAGGTTTGAAACTCATGGTGGGTGTGTGTGCTTGCATGCTCAAGATCCCCAAATCCTACTTTTGGTCATATTCTCTGAGAAATTACTTATCCTTGTGCTGGGAGATGTGTATAGTAATGCTTGTGGGAAAAACTGGGGTCAACCACATATGCAGTGATAGGAAAGTAGCATAACTGTGGCATAGTCATAAAGTGTAAATCTTTAGCTGTAAAGATGAATGAACGACAACCTAAGAGCTCAGGGATACCTCTCCTACATGTGATGCGCTTCACAGAAGATCACATGTTATCAGGTCCCTGTAGAGGAAGATGCAGTACAGGAATACTAATTAATACATAGTTTGCCTCTCTATATATCTCTTTTAAAAATCTTTAGAGAAACACAAGGGAATAGCAAACACGAGACTCAGGACAGAGGGTCCACCTGGGGATGGATGGGCCTGGGGAGGAGTCCATGGTGTCCTCACAAGTTCTGTTTCTTACTCCATTGGTATGAGCCCAGGTTTCTCCTCCTTCCTTCTCCTTCTCCTTCACCCCTTCCCCTTCTTCTCATCCTTCTCCTTCTCCTCCTCCTTTGTCCTCCTACCCCTGCTACTTCTCCTCTTCCTCCACTTCTGCATCTTCAGCTTCTGTTTCTTTGGCTTGTTTTCCTGCTATTTCTGATTCTAGTACGTCTGATGCTGCTGCTGCTGCCTCAGCCTCTTTTGCTTCTGCCTTTTGGCTTTAGCTTGTTCTGCTGTTGTTTCTGCTTCTGCTACTTCTGCTGCTGCTCCTGTGTCTGCTGCTTCTGCCTCTGCTGCTTCTGCTTTTGCTTTTGCTACTTCTGCTTCAGCTTCTTTTACTTCTGTTTCTTCTGCTTCTGCTACTTCTGTGTCTTCTGCTTCTGCTTCTGCTGCTTCTGCTTCTTCTTCCACTTTTGCATCTTCTGCTTCAGCTTCTTCTGCTTCTGCTTTCTGCCTCTGCTACTTCAGCTTCTTTGGCTTTTGCAATTTCTGCTTCTTCTGCTCCCGCTTCTTCCACTTCTGCTTCTGGATTTCTGCTGCTTCTTCTGCTTCCACCACTACTTCTGCTGCTGCTGCTACTTCTTCTGCTGCTGCTGCTTCTTCTTCTTTGCTTCTACTTCAGCTACTTCTGCTGATTCTTCTTCTGCTGCTGCTTCAGCCTCTGCATCTTCTTCTACTTTGGTTTCAGCTTCTGCTTCTGGTTCTGTTCCTTCTTCTGCTGCTTCTGTTTCTGCGTCTGCTTTTGTTTCTGCTTCTTCTGCTTCTGCTACTTCAGCTTCTGCTCCTTCTGATTCTTCTTCCACTTCTGCTTCTTCTGCTTCTACTTTCTGCTTCTGCTTCTTCTGCTCAGCTTCTTCTGCATCTGCTTTCTCTGCTTCTGCTACTTCTGTTTCTTCGACATCTGCAATTTCTGTTTCTTCTGCTCCTGCTTCTTCCACTTCTCCTACTTCTGCTTCTGGATTCCTCCTCTCCTGCTGCTCCTCCTTCTTCAGCTACTTCTGTTGCTTCTTCTTCTACTGCTTCTGCTGCTTCTGCTTCAGAGTCTGCTTCTGCTTCTGTGTCTTCTTCTGGTTCTTCTGCTTCTTCTTCTGCTTCTGTGTCTTCTGGTTCTGCTGCTTCTGCTTCTTCTCCTGCTGCTTCTGTTTCTTCTGCTTTTATTTCTTCTGCTGCTTCTGCAATTTCTACTTCTTCTCATTCTGCTTCTTCCATTTTTGCTTCTGCTATTTCTGCTTCTGCTACTTCAGCTCCTTTTGCTTCTCCTTCTTCTGCTTCTGATACTTCTGCTTCTGTTTCTTCTGCTGCTTTTGCTTCTTCTTCTTCTTCTACTTCTGCTTCTGCTTCTTCTTTTTCTTCTTCTGCTTCTGCTATTTCTGCTTCGGTTTCTTCTGCTTTTATTTCTGCTGCTGCTTCTGCAATTTCTACTTCTTCTCATTCTGCTTCTTCCATTTTTGCTTCTGCTATTTCTGCTTCGGTTTCTTCTGCTTTTATTTCTGCTGCTGCTTCTGCAATTTCTACTTCTTCTCATTCTGCTTCTTCCATTTTTGCTTCTGCTATTTCTGCTTCGGTTTCTTCTGCTTTTATTTCTGCTGCTGCTTCTGCAATTTCTACTTCTTCTCATTCTGCTTCTTCCATTTTTGCTTCTGCTATTTCTGCTTCTGCTACTTCAGCTCCTTTTGCTTCTCCTTCTTCTGCTTCTGCTATTTCAGCTTCTCTTTCTTTTGCTTCAGCTACTTCTTCTTCTTCTTCAGTTTCTTCTGCTTCTTCTTCTGCTTCTTCTACTTCTGCTTCCACTTCTGCTGCTGCTTCTACTTCTTCTTCTGCTTCTGCTTCTGCTTCTGCTTCTGCTTCTGTTTCTGCTTCTGCTTCTTCTTCTACTTCTACTTCTGCTTCCACTTCTGCTTCAGCTACTACTTCTTCTTCAGTTTCTTCTGCTTATTCTTCTGCTTCTTCTTCTGCTACTTCTGCTTCTGCTTTCTAGTTCTGCTATTTCTGCTTCTGTTTCTTCTGCTCTTACTGTTCGAGATTCTGCTTCAGCTACTTCCGCTTCCATTTTCTGCTTCTGCTACTTCTGCTTCTGGCTCTGCTTCTTCTGGTACTGCTTCTGCTTCTGCTTCTGTTCCTGCTTCTGCTTCTTCTTCTTTTTCTACTTCTGCTTCCACTTCTGCTTCAGCTACTTCCGCTTCCATTTTCTGCTTCTGCTACTTCTGCTTCTGGCTCTGCTTCTTCTGGTACTGCTTCTGCTTCTGCTTCTGTTCCTGCTTCTGCTTCTTCTTCTTTTTCTACTTCTGCTTCCACTTCTGCTTCAGCTACTTCCGCTTCCATTTTCTGCTTCTGCTACTTCTGCTTCTGGCTCTGCTTCTTCTGGTACTGCTTCTGCTTCTGCTTCTGTTTCTTCCTCTTTTGCTTCTTCTGCTTCAGCTTCTTTTGCTTCTCATTCGACTTCTTATGCTTCTTTTGCTTCTGCTTCTGCTCCAAGTTCTGCTCACTGAGAGGATTTCCCTTCACCACTGTCCTTCAGGGATATTGACCCCCAGGAAGGACCTATAGTTCCATAAATTCCCACTTTGTGTGGTGCCTGAACATAATGGAGAACCATATATAAACCAGGGCTCAGTCTCCTCTTCCTGTCAAATGACTGTAGGGAATCTCCACTGAGACCATAGCACGAGCCTGAGTGAGCAGCTAGTGCAGCAGAAGAGAGACCATAGACATTTGGGCCACTTCCTCGTGTAACTCACTTTTGCCTTCAGGGTCTTCCAGGGTCCTGCCAATCATATGCCATTACCACGTGAGGGTGGAGCGCTTCTAGGTATGGCCAACTTATCACTTGGTGGGTCAGATAGCACACAGTGCAGGACGGGACTCTCAGGTCAAGGGTAACTCAATGGCCCACGGTCAAGTGTTCTACCTCTGCCAAGGCCTAAGGAGGGCCAAAAGCTATTTTTTAAAGGAGAATAATTATCTGCAGAGGACGGCAGGACACTGCTCTGAAATCTTGAGGGCCTGCTCTGTGATTTACCTATGGGGGTAAAGACTCCAAACAGCATCCCTGTCCTGCTGCTGGACCTTGTTCGACCATGGGGCAGAAGAACAGAGAAACTCACACAGCAGCCGGGACCGGTCGCAGAGCCATCTCTGGTTCTGGGCTCCACTCAAAAGTAGAAGTTTTTTAGGTCCCTTTGTAAATGGGCCAGAGTGGCACATACAAATAAGGACTATGTCATCTTCTAAACTGAAAAGACCCCAGTAGGCATCCTGCCTCCTCTCTTAGTATCAGAGGGGCCAGATACAACAAATTATCCATCACCTTAGAAGAAATATTATGGCATGTCTCACGTCATTGGAACCCAGACATTTCACTGAGATAGAAGCTCCCAAATTTTTGTCAGATTTATTCATTGTCCTCTGACCTATCAAGAAATGACCAAGATTTGGTCATTAAGCCAATTCAGTATAATTTTATGAACCAGTGTGAATCTTGTGGAAGGACAAGGCGATCGAGGTTTCTGCTACCTAAATTATGACACAGGGCTGAGGAGTTGAAATACCCCTAGGGTAAAATAACGATTGTGTATTGCTGGTCTTGCCAGCAGAAAGCAAACTGCTTCTGATGGGCCTCATGGACAAATGGAGAAAAGACATGTGCCAGATCGGCAGCTGCATACCAGGGAGCGGGAGAGGCGTTAATTCAGTCAAGCAATGAGACCTCCTCTAGTAAAGCAGCAGCTGTTGGTCTCACCACCTGGTTACGATTCCAGTAATCCACTGTGATGGCCCCAGATCCATCGTTTCCTGCACAAGCTAAAGGGTGGGTTGAACGGGGCTGTGGTCGGAATCACTACCCCTCTGTCTTTCAGATCCTCGATGTGGCACTAACGGGCATGCAGGATTGCTTCCAACTCACCACTTTTCTAGGTGGAGGCGGTCCTATGACTGCCCTTGGCTTTTCTCATCACGTAGCCTCCACTCCAACATCACGGAACCAGGTGGGGTCACACCAATTGCAGAGATGCTCTCTCCCAATAAGGCATCTGGAGGGGCCAATGGCCACAGGACTGGTTTAGAGAGCCTCTCCTGAGCGACAGCTCCAGGGGTTTCATGACTGCCACAAACCCCTACTCTGCCTAGTAGGCCACAGATATTTAGAATTTGTTGAAATTAGTCAGTTTAGAGTGAATGTTCAGGATTCACTATAAAGTCTGAAGAGTTCCTTTTGTAACTACCCTGTTGTGAGGATATGGGTCCCTTTGGTAAGGCTGGGAGAAATAATAGTGTACATTTCCAGTAGTGTATTAGGACCGTTCCTCAAATACATCCAGCCTTACCTTCACTCAAGGGGTTCTGGGTCTGCAAACTGGCTGTAATCTGGGAAATGACTGAGAGGCAATGGCTTTTTATTATCCAAGTTAGACCTTTCTTCATTTGGCTAGAACTTTTCTGCCGACACAGTCCAAGGAAGAAATTAGTCGGGTTCTGATCTTTCTCCCTTCTAGAAACACATGGCCGACGCCCAAAGTCGTGGGCATCTGAGGTAGACTGTTCTGACTGCTGCTCTGACTCTGCTGTCCACTGCAGTGACCACACCCACCTGTTCTTGGCCACTGAGTGCTGCCACGTGGTCTCAGCCGCCCGGGGAGCCCTTGACTCCATTGTGAGTAGGCCCCTCAATTCAGTGACTGCTGTTCCCACTGCGAGGACTGGCCTACGTAGAAGAGTGACCACAGAGATTTCAAGAATGCTGGGGGTCCCAGGGTCGGCAGATGGTGTGGAGGGGAAGGCCACTGGATCCCACATAGCTGTCTGCAGTGTGAGTCCCAGACCCGGCAGCATGAAAACACATTGGCTGCATGTGCTTATGTGCCCGAAACCTGAGAGGAGAATGGAGAGGAGAGCGGAGAAGAGATCGCAGTGCAGAGATACCACCTGGGGGGGGTGCTTTCTCACTTCCCCTTTCTCCTTCTCTGTCTTCCAGGAGGACACACACCCTATGGTAAAAGAGTCTGTGTGTAGGGGGTACAAGTGGTGTGGTGGTGAAGGCATTGAGTTCCACATGGCCTACTGATGTTTTAGTCCTGGACCCAGTGGCTTGAAAAACATGCTGGGCTGGGCGCGTGTGTGTGCCCAAAGTCCAGAGAAGAGAATGGAGGAGGAGGGATTGCAGTGTGGCCACTCCCTCCCCCCACATCCCCGGGTAATTTCCCACTTTCTCCCTGTCTCTCTCTGGTGAACATACGTGCTCTATAGCAAAATAATAATAATATTGGGTGGTCCCCTCCCAAGTTGTTTTTTCACAGTACTGTTGAAACGTGTGGCTGTCTCCTTGACTCTCCCAGGGTGCTAACAGGTCGTAAATGACAGATCTACTCTGACGTTCTGAATCCCTAAGGCTTTGAATCCCTTCTCCTATTCCCGGTTTGCTTACTATGGGCCCCTTTTGATCCGTATTTCAGCCACTCAGTACGCTAGACAAGCCCCAGCAGTGAATGCAGAATCTGCTTCTGAGTCCCTGTCAGTAAACTCAGCTGGATCAACTTTGCTCCTCCCGCATTACCCCAGACTCTTAGTGTCCATTCCCACACGTGCTCCTAAGATTTCTTTGTCTTTAGAAGCTATTTATCTTTTATTTTTAAAGAAGTTTTCATATACTTTAAACTGACTATAAAATTATCTATATTTATTATGTACAACATAATGTTTTGACTAACAGATACTTTGTGGAATGCGTCTATCTAGCTAATTATCAAATGCATTACTTGGGTCAGCAGGTGGTGTGGTGGTTAAGGTGCTGGACTCTCACTGCCAACCAGGGTTTGAGTGTTGGACCTGGTGGCTTGTTTTCTTGCTTTCCTTTTTGCTCTCTCTGTTTCCCTCTGGTCAAATAAATCATAACAAATGAAATTAAAAAAATAAATTTTTACAAAATGCATTACCTTGCACTGTTACCATTAACTCTCTCAGCACTTTGCAATTTATTGGCCCAGCCCTGGTGGCACATGCTGGAATGCCACCCTCTGCAACGCTGGAGCCTGTGGCCAGCTGGGATTCAGATCCTGGGCTGACTGAAAACATGTGTGATCCTGTGTGATCCTGTGAGGCTACAGGACTCGGGCAGGGGAGCTCAGCATGACAAGACCGAGTAGGTGCCTGTCTCTCTGGCATGCTGCTTCTCTCTCTTTCCTGCTTTCTCACACTATCACTCTGCCTCATGAAAGAAACAAAACAAAAGTTAAAACAAAACAAAAAGGATACAAAGGCCAAACTGTGGCTCTGTGGTAAAATGTGAAACTCTAAGGAAATCCCACCTTGGGAGGGTCCTGGTTCGAGTTCGAAGACCTCCCTCGGTACGCCCGGCGTAAACCCGCGATCTACGGCAGACGAAGGCTGGGAGTGGATCATGACGCCAAGAACTCTTCTGGATAAATGTAACTTTTGTAATATTCATGTAATTAGGCTAATAATAATCAACTCATGCTATATTCTGTTTTGAATAAAATTTCATTGTTTGAAAAAATAAAGAAAGGAAGAAAAAGAAAAAAGAAATAGTAGTTCGAATTCAGGCACTACATATTTCCAGTTAGTGGACTCAGCGAAGAATTGGGCCATTTTTACATTTGATAAAAAGAAGCCTAAAGGAGGCATTTTCCTCCTTTTCACCTAAAATTCTCTCAAAAGTTTAAACTGAGGCTTCTGACACTGAAAATGATTCCAAAATCTCATAGATATTATATGTTAATTTATTTTATTAAGTGCTTATCATTAAAAAAACAACAACGTGTTGGGGGTGTTGCCTCCTCTGTTTCTCTCCAACCCACACAAGCTCTCACTTTCTCTCGTGAAAGAAACAAAAAAAACACACAGTATGTCATCACCTATCATCACCACACTGTACATAGATCTTCATGTACTCCTATCTAAGGGAAATGACGTATTCTTTAAGGAACATCTCGCCACCCCTTCTCCTCTTAAACACCTCAGCCCTGGTAACCACCGGTCTACTCTACTTCGGTGAGGTCAGCTCTTTTACATCCACGTATGCTGATATCACAAGGCCTTTTGTCTTTCTTGCTTAGATTATTTTATGTTCTATAACAGTTTTCATGTGACATTGTCACAAATGGTAGAATTTTCTTCCCTTTCTCACTTTTTTTAAAGAATAATTTTATTTAACTTTATTTATTTATTTAAATTAGACTAGAGAGGGACAGAGTGAGAGAGGAGAGAGAGAGAGAGAAAGTGAGAAAGCAAGCTACCAGAACTGAGACTTGAACCTAGCTTGGCCATATGGGAGTCCAACGGCCTTAACTACCACACCACCTGGTGGTCCCCTGCCTGTATATTTTCAAATAACATGTCTTAGAGTTTACAGATTCTTTTTTCTCCTTGATCAATCTTGTTGATACTGTTTATTGCAGTTTTCAATCTTTTCCTTGTATTTTTCAACTCCAGGATTTCTATTTGAGTTTTTTCTTCACTATTTCTATCTCTGTTAAATTTCTTGTTCTAATCAGCTAT